ATACTAAAACCTGTATGGTATCAGAGTTGCGTTTTGCAAATATTTTCTTCCAGTCTGTGGCCCAAGCTCTTTCACAGACCTAACATTCACATCAATGCACATACTTTTCTGGGAAGAGAAATGAGAAGTTGCTGACTGCAGTGGGTTCAGAGTAGAGGGACTTGGTTGATGATTTTGCCTTAGAATTTCCACCTGACGAATTTGGGCTGGGTGGATGGGCACCCCTTCCCACTGAAAAGAGCTAAAAATGCCACTTTTTTTAAAATTTATTTTTATATTCCCCATACAATTGCATCCCCTTTATTTTGAACCCAATCCCCACTCCCCATAGAGTGTCTCTGGTTCATAGTTGTTTGTTGATTTTGATATTTCTTTCTTATATTTATTCTTTTTCCTGGTCCCTTATTTACGTTTTCTAGATTCCTGCTATGAGTGAGACCATCCGGTATTTTTCTTAAAAGCATCAGAAGGTACAATATAGTAATAAATGGCCACACCCAGGAGAGAAGGACAAGACCCTGCATGGGCCCCACAGAGAATAGGGCCCTGAGGAGGGAGGAAGGGCTGTGAGGACCCACCCAGAGCAGACACAGAGCCAGCCCTGCAGCTCTGTGCTGAGCGGGATGATCTACACGCGCCGTTTTAAAATTTAGGAAGAGATATTTTATTCTGATTAGATGTACATGTATAATATAGAATTTATGTGCTATAATGTACATTCATTGTAAAAAATATATATAAAATATGGGGCCTCCCTGGTGGTGTAGAGGTTAAGTCTCAGTGCTATAACCACTGCGGCCTGAGTTCAATCCCTGACCAGGGAGCTACCCACATGGCACAGCAGACGTCTACTGTCTCCCCCACTGCTCCCCTCAGCAGTGTATTTTAGTAGATCTGCCTTTTCTGTTCCCCACTCTGTCTCTGGTGAATCCTCTCACCTCTGGCACCTCTGGCCTGCACCCCAGTTCTTATATGCATAAATAAATAAAAGAAAATCTTTATATATATATACACACACATAAATGGTCACAAATTGTACAGTAAAAATAACTGTAGTCCTTACACTTGGAGAGAATATATTTCATTCTTTCCTTGTCTATGGAGATCCTGCTGCTGCAACCTCAGTCTCTCTCTCTCTCTCTCTCTCTCTCTCTCTCTCTCTCTCTCTATCTCCCCCCCTCCCTTCCCTCTCTCTTTCTCAGCACAGAACCCAGTGGCCTCAGCCCTGTCACCTCCAGATGCCATTTCCCAGATCAACTCACTCTCACCCCTCCTGAGAGGGCTTTTTCTCACTTCCTCCCCCTACTCAGCCCCTCAGGCCCTCCCCTCCCTCCATTCTTACATGATCAGTTTATTTCTTTTTTCATCCTTAAAATATGAAGCACTCAGGTGAGAACGGCACCATCACCCCTGCAACTGTACCTGCCCTCACTCCAGTGATAGTAGAAGGTCCCCTCCTGTCTTGATCACCCCTCAGCTTGGGAGCAGGATCAGGCCCCTCTGTCCCCTGGGTCATCATATCCCTCTCTCCTGTGGGTCATGCTTTCTGCCACACACACATGCCGTAATAGTTGCCATTCAAAACATACAATTAAACCAAACTCCCCCCATCAAATCCACTACCCGACCCCATGTCTTCCTCCTCCACTGCCCCGTGTCTATGACACTCCATAGGGCCCTTAGTGAGTCCATTCTCTCAATGACTAGATCATCTTTTAATTTTTTTTGCAAATAGACATATGCACATAGTTTTAAAAGCCCTCACTCCTGCAAGACTTTTTAGGGAGGTAGATGTCCCCATCTTCTATGGGCCTCAATTCCTGAATCTCAGGGACAACCTGGTTTTCTTATTAACTGATTCACTATTTGTTACTTCTGTATCTCCAAATAAGATGCTAATTGTACTCCTTGTTTTTGAGTTAATGACTCATCTTTGGTGAATTGACTCTTCTTTCATACAACCTCGTCCTCCCAACATAATAACATTATAATTATGATTAGCTCAATGTGTGATGTGTGCATCTTTTTTTCAGGTCATCTTATAATTTTAGTTCATCAAAATGTACCACCCTTTAAAGAAAACTGATATCTCTCAGGAGCCAGAGAAGGAAAGCATTTTCAGACCAGGAGAGAGTGAAATATTGTCAGCTGTTGTTAGCAATGAGAAACAGAAAAGTATGGTCATAACTCATCATTGCCAACCCTCCCACAGGCAGGAGCAGGAGGGTGGGAGCAGAGATGTGGACAGAGACCACCCTGTCCAGTATGAAGAGCTGTGGGGCCCTGGACAGGGAGGCTCTGGAAAGCAGGGAGCATCTCCTCAAGCCCTGAGAGAAAGAATCTGGAGACAAAGTAAATCTGATTTCTGATAACATAGAGTACATAAAAGTCACTTCTGTCACAATCCAAAGTACTATGTCCCAAGGAAAACAATTTGTATGCGGTGAATTAGACCTTTTTGGGGGGAGAGAGGGGAGGGGGCACTACCATCTTTACTTGAAGGGATGAATGACAAACACTATCAGTATTTAGATTTGGTCAACCTGTACACACTTTCTAGAAAATGAATGTGAGTCTGTCCCTTTAAGAAAATCAAGTGACAGTTGATAACTGATAGTAATTAATTGCCTTGATAAAGTACAAGCTGCCAGAGATCAGCTCTTGTGAACAGGGTTGGGGAGAAGAATCTCAAAGAACTGAGAAACAAAGAAATGACAGACACAAAATAAACTGCAAGACAAGCGGGACCCAGGGGACACAAGGCTTCTCACTCAGAGCTCAAGTGTCCCAAGTGCCTGGTGCAACTCATTTTTATTGATATAAACCACCCACTCCCCTCCTTGTTAGTTACTAGACAATGAATCATTCTCCTAGTATTTACCTTGTCAGGACACACATTCACCTGCATTGTGTGGTATATTCTACTCTCTTTCTTATCTTGCCTGTTTCTCAGACTTAGCTTTGCTGACAACAGAAAAGACATCATGGGCTGGAGACAGGCCAGTCTTCCAGCCCATGGTGATGAGTCTTCCAGTCATGAACCTGAGACTTTCCTTGCTTCAGCACTTTACAATTAGGGGTCTCCAACTAAGCTCCAAGTGAAAACTTGGCATTAGAAAATTGTGTCCGATCACTACAAACTAAACAACTTCCAGTAGCCACTTTCTTTTCTTTTCTTTCTTTTTAAAATGTTTTAATTTTATATATATTTTTACATCATTTTTCTACAATGTATGCATTTTCACTTGTTTATAGTCCGGTAAAATTCCCACCACCCTTGTGTGGATCCTACTCCCTTCCTCCCCCCCCCCACATTTTGTGTCTCTGTTTTGTAGTTGCCTGTTGATTTTTACTTTATTGTAATTAGTCTTTTTCCTGATCCCTTATTTAGATTTTCTATATTCCTGCTATGAGTGAGACCATCCAGTATTTTTTTTTTCTTTTGGAATCTTTGGAACATAAAACATACATGGGTCTCCCTGGTGGCTCAAGGGGTTAAGACCAGCACCATGAAGCTATCTGCAGCCACTGCTGCATGAGTTTGATCCCTGACCAGGGAGCTACCCACATGGTGCAACAGACCTCTCTTGTCTCGCCCGCTGCTCCCCTCAGCAGTGTATTTCAGTACATCTGCTTGTTCTGCTCCCCATTCTGTCACTGGTGAATCCTCTCACCCTAGTATCTCTGGCCTACACCCCAGCTCTTGTATGCATTAATAAATAAATTAAAAAAAATACATGGTGTTCAAAATTTGATTCTAGAATAACTAGTATAAAGATCATATAACCTAGTAAAACAATGCATCACTTTTTAAAACCATGTAGTAGTTCAAGATTAATAATCAAGAGAGGCCTATGTAATTAATGCAACAGAATAGAAAATATTCAATGATTTTTTTCACTTTGCAAATAACATTTGAAAAACCACCACTTTTACAATTGAAACTACACAGTTTCAATTTTTTTGTCAAAGTGTAACAAAGCTGAATAGTCGCAATTATCTGAAAGGTAATTAAAATGCTAGTCACATATTTCAGAGAGGCCAGTATAGTTTTTCATTGGCCAACCAAAACAACAGAGTAAATGCAGGGGAAAATATGACATCCAACATTCTTCTAATGAGACAGAGAAGAAAGACAATTGGAAAAATATAGCTGTAAAAAAGCCACTCGTGGCTGTAATTATTTTCATAAATACCTGTATTTCCTTAAGACACTTTGTGAACATGCAATGCATTATTATTATTATTTTGGGTTTTTTTTTTTAAAGATTTATTTATTTATTTTTATACAAGAACCCGGGTACAGGCCAGATGCGTGGGAGGGTGAGAGGATTCACCAGAGACAGACCGGGGAACAAAACAGGCAGACTGACTGAAATCCACTGCTGAGGGGAGCAGCGGGCTAGACAGAAGAGGTCTGCTGCGTCATGTGGGGTTGGGATGGAGCCCGCTGCAGAGGCTGAGGACAGCTTCACAGCGAGGCGCCCAACTGCCTGTGCCACCAGGGAGGCCCTATTAATATTGTTTTAAATTAAATAAAACATGTTTAAAATGGTTTTATACTCGTGTAGTAGACATTGAGAGTTATAGTCTCCTAAAATTATACTGGGGACGTCGCTAATTTGTAAAACTGTAGAGATCCTGAAAGGAAAATGCTTGAAAATCACTGACCCAGTCCCTGGCCTGCACTCAGGGTCACGGTGTGACAAAGGTCTTGCAGCAGGAGAGGAGGGGCCGGCAAAGTCCCAGGTGTTGTGTGTGGTTCTCAGGGTCTCAGCACCGAGGGCTGTGTCTGGGGCAGGGAAGGCTACTGTTGGGGAGGCCCCATCTCCCCAGTTTCACTTCTCACAACCTGTGTCAGGTCCACCTTCCTGGATACTGGTGACTCACCCCAGTTCTCACTCCCCATTGCCTGGAGGTTTCCAGAGGCACCAATCCGCAGCTCCGCGGCTCCAGTTATAAATTCTGTACCGCACAGTCTGGACTCAGTCGCCCCAGACCCAAGAGCACCAGTCATGAGGCCCCCAACCCTCCTGCTGCTGCTCTCAGGGGCTCTGGTGCTGACAGAGACCTGGGCGGGTGAGTGCAGGCTCAAGAGGAAAAAGGCCTCAGAGGAGGGAGGAACCCCGGCGAGGGGCTTAGGACCCCGGTAAAAGCAAGTCTCCCCCGCCCCTGGCTCTGTTGTCCCCCTTGACCCCAACCTGTCCTGACCTTGCTCTGCCCCTCCCAGCGCCCCCGCCCCTCCTCTTACCCCTCTGAGTAGCGACCCTTCACGTGGGCCGCCATAATTCAGTCTCGGGAGCTCCCTCGCCCCCTGCCCTCCCGCCCCATCTCCCCGGGACCCGCGGGAGGAGGGTCAGCCCGGGTCTCCCTTCCCGCCCCCAGGCTCCCACTCCATGAGGTATTTATTCACCGGGATGTCCCGGCCCGGCCTCGGGAAGCCCCGCTTAATCATCGTGGGCTACGTGGACGACACGCAGTTCGAGCGGTTCGACAGCGACTCCCCGGACCAGAGTGTGGAGCCGTGGGCGCCCTGGATGGAGCAGGAGGGGCCGGAGTACTGGGAGAGGGAGACGGGGATCGCGAGGGCCACCGCACAGTCCTTCCAAGACAGCCTGCACAACCTGCGCCGCTACTACAACCACAGCGAGGCGGGTGAGCGGGGCGGGCCCGGGGCGCTCACGACCCCACCCCCGCGGGCGGGCGGGGACCCCAGACCCCGGGCCCGAGCGTCCCCCGAGGCAGGGGGACCCGCCGGACCCTCGACCCGGGATGAGCCCCGGGACGTTCCCCGCGGGGTTCCCGCGTCGGTTTCGGTTTATTCCCGGCGGGGGCGGGCGGGGTGACCGCGGGGTGACGGGGCGGGGACAGACTCTCACACCATTCAGTGGATGTACGGCTGCGACGTGGGGCCCGACGGGCGCCTCCTCGGCGGGTACAGACAGTCCTCCTACGACGGCGCCGAGTACATCGCCCTGAACAGGGACATGCGCTCCTGGACCGCGGCGGACACGGCCGCTCAGATCACCCGGCGCAAGTGGGATGAGGAGGGATACGCGAGGCGCTACAGGCACTACCTGGAGGGCCTGTGCGTGGAGTGGCTGCGCAGACACCTGAAGCACGGGAAGGAGACGCTGCAGCGCTCAGGTAAGAGGGGCCGCGAGGTCTCCCAACCCCCCTCTGGCCGGCACCGCGGGGAGGGTGGAGTCAGGTTCACAGCAGCGCCCCCTCTCTGGGCAGGGGAGGAGGAGTCCCCTGGGTTTCCTGACTCCCCAGAGGACCCCACTTTTCCTCAGAACAGTTAAGGGATCCAGTCTCTCCTGAGCCTGAGGGGAGACCAGCCCTGGAATCTCCCTTCACTGGCTCTTTTTGACCCGGCAGCCATTTTGGGAACCATCAGTGTTTCTCTCAGGGGCTTGTTATTGGCCGGAGGACATTTTTCTTTCTTTTTTTAAAGATTTATTTATTTATGCATACAAGAACTGGGTACAGGAAACAGGTGTGGGGGGAGAAGAAGATTCACAAGACACAGAGCGGGGAATCTGACTCTTGCTTCTTTGAGTGTCTAGATCCTCAAAAGTCTGTGCTCTCCTCCTTAGAGAACTGCGTCCTCCTATCCAGAGTTTTGCCCTAATTCTAGATCTTTCTAAGGAATAAGAGATTATCCTAAACCAGACTGTTTCTAGATTTTGTGCTTTCTTTTCTAAACCCACTGCCTTGTCCATTCTGAGGATGATCACAGGAGGGTTTTTCAGGGTCCATGAGGGAAAAACCAGAGTGTGAAAGTTCTTCCCCTTCTCCTCAAAAGCCCCAAAGACACAGGTGACCCACCACCCCAACTCTGACCATGAGGTCACCCTGAAGTGCTGGGCCTGGGGGTTCTACCCTGCGGACATCACCCTGACCTGGCAGCGAGATGGGGAGGACCTGACCCAGGATACCGAGCTGGTGGAGACCAGGCCTGGAGGGGATGGAAGCTTCCAGAAGTGGGTGGCTGTGGCGGTGCCTTCTGGAGAGGAGCAGAGATACACGTGCCATGTCCAGCATGAGGGGCTACTGGATCCCCGAGTCCTGACTTGGGGTAAGGAGTGGGGTGGGCACAGAGCTTCTCAGGGGCATCAGGAGCCCTTCTGGACACTTTCAGAGCATCAGATGGAGGCCTGGGGCTCAGGGTCTCACTTTCCCTTCCCCACCAGTGCCCCCTCCTCAGTCCTCCATCCCCACCGCGGGCATCATTGCTGGCCTGGTTCTCCTTGGAGCTGTGCTCACTGGAGCTGCAGTGGCTGCAGCTGTGATTTGGAGGAAGAAGCGCTCAGGTAGGGAAGGGAGTGGGGGAACTTGTCTACTAAGGACTTTCAGGCTACAGATAGAACGTGCCCTGCCTGGTAATGGGAAGTACCACCCACACACTTGTGTTGCCCAGTCTGGAGCTGATTGCTAACCCTCTTTGGTAAAGCATTTTTGAAAATGAATCACAGGTTGTTCACCTTGATAATTCTGGTGATGGGATCCTGATTCCAGCAAATGGCAGAGGGGAACGTCCCTGCTGAGGGCAAACCCCAGGAGGCAGTTGGTCTAGTCCCCCCTCATCTCCTCTCTTCATATATCCTGGTCCCACCCTAAGTGTTCAGTCACAGTTCTGGAAAATTCCCTGTAGCCCAGAACTAGGAGCTTCCTTTAGGAATTAATGGCCTGGCTCCTTCCTGTCCTCATACAATGTTTCTTCCCACAGGTGGACAAAGAGGAAGCTACACTCAAGCTGCAGGTAAGTGTGGATCAGGGGTTTGGTCTCTGAGCCCCTGGGAACAGTGTAGATGGAGCCCATGGGGGAGTCACCCCCATCAGTCCCTCCTGTGGTCTCACCTCTGTGGCTCTGACCAGGTTCTGTTTTGTTCTCCCCCAGGTGGCGACAGTTCCCAGGGCTCTGATGTGTCTCACAGCTGCTAAAGGTGAGACCCTGGAGGCCTGCGGTGGGAGGAGCTTGGACAGAGAGGGTGGGACCTGTTATGGGGAAGCTGTGAGGGGGACATTCTGAGGATGCGGTGGACTATGGAGAATGTCAACATTTATGTGTTTCTTTGAAATTTTTTATGATCATTTTCCTTCACAGTGTGAGCCAGCTGCCTTGTGGGGGCTGAGTGATGCAGGATTTCTTCTCACCCCCACTTTGTAACTTCAAGATCTGCTGGTTTCTTTTGCTGCAAAAGGCATAGGAATGTGTCTGTTCATATGAGATAATGTGAGGAGGTGGGGAGACTGGCCCAGCCCTGCCCACCAGGCCTGTGTCCACATTGACCTGTGTCTCTCTCCCTGATGACTTTCCTGCTCCAGCAGAGGCAGCTTAGTCTGCGTCTACCCCGTCTTTGTATTTTCCTCAAGAATAGTAACTACTTCCCTCTTGAAATACTAATTGAGTTCTGAGATTACTTTCTGTGAAGTTGCCTGATGGGTTTGAGGGCTAATAAAAATGATTCCTAATACTTGAGATGGAATAAATGGGAAACCTTCCAGAATCACATGTTTGCTGTGCTGAGTCTGTGCAGGTGGGGGCGGGAGAGGCTGTGAGGAGCTGAGGGGGATGGGGCCTGTGTCCAGTCAGTGCTCAGTGCGTCGTGGGCTTTTATGTGGTCACTCCTCAGGGGTCATATCTCTGCTCCTTTGTCCCTGTCCTTCAGGAGCACCTGTCCCAGCAGGGCCTATGATCACAGGGTCACACCCCACCTGGTCTTGTGCTGTCATTTTTAGGCAGGGAGTGCTTGTGTGGCCAGGTCAGCCTGGGGTCAGCTCAGGGTCTAGCCTTCTGCCCTCAAATTTCTATGTATTTCTATTTTGATTCTTTGGTTTTATTTTGCTTTATGCCTGTTCATTTTCATGTTTAGAGACCAGGCCTCATGTCCTCTGGGTGTCCCTGTCTCTGACAGCAGCAGGAGCATCGTCATTGTCCCCACAAGGCCCAGGGTCTGCACACAGGAGTCTGATGAGAGGAGGATTTGATAATTTCCTGATGGATTTAGAGAAGTTCCTAAAAGATTTCTATTTTTCCCTACAATATTTCCCTGTAACCCTGCCCTTAAACGTAGTAACCACAGTGCTGGTGCTAATTGAGACCATGGGTTGTTGGAGTCAGTTACCTTCATGGTTTACTGAAAAACAGACCCACAAGCCTAGGAACCCATACCCCCTGGTGGCCCAGGGGTACGTCTCAGCGCTATCACCTCTAAACCCCAAGTTCAATCCCTAGCCAGGGAAATAACCCACATTAGTCCCAGCCCATCTCTCCTATTTCACCTGCTGCTCCCCTTAGTGTATTTCAGTAAATCCACCTGTTCTGCTCCCCACTCTGTCTCTGGTGAATCCTCTCACCAACCCCACCCCCACACTTCTGACCTACACCCTGGTTCTTCTGCAAAAATTAATCTTACCAAAAAGAAAAAAAAAAACCACTAGGAACCTCTTTTTAAAAGAACTGTGTAATGTGCCCATTAGTAAAGACACTGTCTCTAGAACAGGGAGGTGCTCTACGCTGATGACAAAACTGATAACTGATAACTGTTGCACCAGATGTGTGACTGACTGTTTATGCAACTAGGAAACCTCCATGAACTAAAAACATGTACAACTTGCAGCCTGTGGAGAGTGTGTCGTAGTGGGGAGGAGAGACTGGGGACTGTGTGACAGTAGATCAGACAATCAACCACTCGTGTCTGGTTAGAAGTAGGTAAGGGATGAGGCCTCTCTGGTGGCGCAAGGGGTTAAGCACCGCACTATGAAGCAATGCGCAGCCTCTGCAGCATGAGTTCAATCCCCAGCCAGCCAGAGAGCAACCCACATGGGGTAGCAGACCTCTCCTGCCTCTCCTGCTGCCCCCTCAGCAGTGTATTTCAGTTAGTCTGCCTGTTCTGTTCCCCGCTCTGTCTCTGGTGCATCCTCTCACCCCCCACACCTCTGGCCTGTACCCCAGCTCTTGTAGGCATAAATAAATCTTAAAAAAAAAAAAAAAGAAGCAGATAAGGGATGTGGGAATGTCACCAAAGTCAGTGTGTGGGGACAGTTTGTTTTTCTTCCGAGGATGGCCAGTGTGGGTCTCACTAAAGTGACCTTTGAGAAAAAGTTTGATGGACATGTTACCCACAAGAATGTGATATGCATGGAAGTTCAGTCCAGACAGGACAACCTCCAGTGCAGATGCCCGAGCAGGAATGTGTGTGACTGACATGAGCACAGAGACCAGCTGCTGCAGCAGAGGCCATTTGAGATGGGATCTGTGTGCACCCAGATCATGCAGGCCTGAGGATATTGGGAAGGTTTGACTCTGTGAGTAAGATGTGGGGTGACAAGACCCTCTGAACAGATACACACTTGTGGGACTTTTCTCTGGTAGCCTCAGTCTGGCTGCTGTGCAACATGGAAGGGTGAGAGGTGGGGAAAGAAACAGAGGAAACCAGTACAGGTCCCAGGACAGAGAGGTTGGTGGCTTCGCTGGTGGGTGAGCAGGGAAATAATAGGAAGTGATAGCACTGTGCGTATGGACTTTACAGTGTTTCCTACTGCTGGGTTGTGAGAAAGGGGTCAAGGATGACACTCAGTGTTTCAGACTGTGCAGGCAGAGAGGTGGAGCCTCAGTGACATGGGGAAGACCCCAGAAGAACCATATGTGGGCATCCTAGGCATTCACTTTAGGAAAGTTGAATCAAATCTGTTAGAATTGAATGTGATGTTGGCAGTTGGACAGACAAGTCTGGGGCACAGGTGAAATATCTGAGGTAAGAAATAGATCTGGGAGGTGATGTGATGTCAATGATATTTAAAGTCTTGAGTATGTAAGGGTCACCCAGAAAGTGATGACTCAGCAAGAGAAAGGAGCAGAATTGAACCCCAGATTCCACAGTGATGAGCAATCTGAGCAGACACCCCCCCAGGGCCCACTGCACAGTCTGACCCCACATGGAGAAGACACAGAGCCCAGGGAGCCCCCACTTCAGTGAGCACAGGAGTCACCTGGGTGCTCAGAAGACTCAGAAGTTCTAGAACAGAGCCTGAAAGAGTCTGTTACTTGGCCCCTCCCCTCCCCCTAGGGATAGAGAATTTGGGGCTGATGCTAAGGAAGAGGCACTTTGATCCCTGGAAGCAGGAGCAAATAACAAGGACTCTGGAGTCCAAGTTCCCATCCAGGGAGATTGAGCAAACCTGTATAAAATGGGGACCCAGAATTGGGGGAACACTGTTAGGACCTAGACACCTGGCTCTTCCCTGAGGCCTGTACCCATAGTTACTCAGTAGGGGGTCAATTTGAGGACCCCTAACGTGACAGTGGACCTTGTCCTGCTGCTGGGAGCCCAGGGAGCCTGGGGAGGGCCTGGCTGAGCAGGAGAAAGGGCAGCTCTGGTCTCCTGCGCTCAGCCCGGGGGCCACACGGGGGCGCTGCCGCGCTGTTCCGGATTCTGGTGGAGCTGCCAGGACAGGGCGGGGGCTGAGTTGGGCAGAGTTGGGGGTGCTGGAGGGCGGTGTCCTGGGCTGAGATGTTCTGTGAGGATTCAGAGCAGCAGGGCTAAGAGGAGAGGAGACTCCGGGGAATGCCCTGTGTGAGGTTTCCAGCTTTTCTCCCCAGAACTCCTCTCTCCAGTCCCTTGAAAGCAATACCTGGGAAAACTGGGCAGTTCATCATTTTTCCTTCTACAATCTATAACTTTGTTGAGGGCTATTTTTTAAAATGTTATTTTAATTTAAAATTTAATTTTAAACAACATTTTTAAAAATACTCTTAGATTACTGAAAAGTGGCCAAGGTAGTAGAACTCCTATATAACCCACATCATTTCCAAATTGTTAACATCTCACGTGACCACAGTGCATTTGAGCAGCTAAGGAAGCAATATGGATGCACTTTCACTAAACTCTGCGCTGTATTTGGATTTCATTAATTTCCTTACTGCCCTTTCCATGCTCCGACATCCCACCCAGGACACCACATGAAGTTCTAAATACATTTCCTTAGTGCCTCTGGCTGTCAGTTTCTCAAACTTTCCTCTGCTGATGACACCTGTGAGCGGAGCTGCTCAGGCACAATGGCCTCAATTTTAAGCCGTTCTCCATCAGCTCATCAGGTGCACACACATCCACTTTTATTTTTCCTTTCTTTTGTTATTGTTGTCTTTTGGGAAGAAGTCACTATGGGCAGGTGACACTTAGTGGGGGTTCTGCTATAAACATTTACTTCTATTCAGAGTTTTTTGGTTTTGTTTGTTTTTCAAATACAAGTTTTCAGATTAGTTGGGTAAATAGCAGGGACAGTGCTCCCTGGAATGTATGGTCGGTCTGTGTTTGACTTTTAAAGAAATGTCAGACCTTCCCTCGTGACTGGGTCATTATAGCCTACCAGCAGTTACAAGGGGTCACTTCATTAATATAAATTCTAGATACAAGTCCTTTATCAGATACATGATTTGATTTGCAAAAATCTCTCCCACTCCGTGTTTTAAACTCTTGTACTTATATGGTACTATACACTAGTGACTAGATAAGGGCATAGATATATTTTTCTGGAAAGAGAAATGATAAATTGCTAACTGGTTTTGAGCAGACGATCTGGGTCATTGGAGGACTATGGTGGGAAGGGGGTGTTATTTATTTAGCTACGTGAATTCTTGAATGTAAAATTTTCTTTTGTGCTCATGAAATGATATTTTGAAAATTAAATCTTGCTAAAATCCCTCCAACTGTATAATACTTCACAGTTCATATCCTAATCACATGCTAAGCCCAGAGTGGAACATCAGTCACAAGAAGAACCTGCCCATCATCATCTCTCATGGCCA